GATCCCGCGGATACGAGGCGTTTTTGTTGCGGATGTCCCGCGCGCGACGTATCCTTTCCCGCCTGGGATCCAAACCGCGAGGGCGCGGGTGCTATTCTGTGTAGCCGTCCTGGAAGGTCAGGGGGACAGGGTACGAGGCGGGCGGATCGGCGTTGCAGAATCGCCTTAGCCGGGAAGCCTCCAGAATCGCCTCTTGGTCCGGGGGGGCTTCCCGGGAGCTCCAGAGGCCCCCGCAGACGACCTCCGGAGACCTCCTGCAGAGATCGCTGGAGGCTTCTGGACCTTCTGAAGACCCTCTGGAGGCTGCTGAAGGTGGATCTCCTTCTCTTGCTGCTGCTGCTGCTCCTCTTCCTTCTCCTCTCTCGTCATCTATATCCTCCTCCCGCTCCCTTCCTCTTCCTCCTCCTTCTCCTCCTCCTTCTCCTCTCTCTTCTCCTCCTTTCTCCCTCCCTCCCTCCCTGCCTACCTCATTCTTCCTCCTCGTCCTCCGTCCTCTCTCCTCCCCCTTCTCTTCGCTCTCCTTGGAAGGCGGGGGGGGGAGTCGGCGAAGGCCGCCTGCCCAACAGCGGCCGCTGTCGGCCTTGGATAACCCTTGCTGTCGGGCCTCGTGCCCACGTTGCTCCGTACCTCTCTCGGGCGTCCCCAACAAAATCGGCCCCGATCGCCCTCCACCGTTCCGACGCAGACCTCCCGTACAGGAGGAGGAGGAGGAGGAGGAGGAGGAGGAGGAGGAGGAGGAGGAGGAGAAGGAGGAGGAGGAGGAGGAGGAGGAGGAGGAGGAGGAGGAGGAGGAGCCGCTTCCCGCGGAAGGAGAGGCTGGGGCGGGCCTCGGGACCTGCCCGGCGCAGGGCGCGCGCCCTGCTTCGGCCACATGCGGGACCGGGCCCATGAGGCGGCGCTCACGCGGGACCTGGCCGCGCAGGACCCCTCCCCGCGTTGGTCAAGCAGTGGCGAAGCGTCCCGGCGTACCTATAACCCTACCAAGCAATGTTCTAAGAACCTTCTGTGGTTTCCACGAAATGCTCTCAGAACATTTCTGGCGGAGCCTGCCTTGTTTTCACACATCGGGTTTATCTTCTAAGAACATATTGTTTTTGTTCTAAGAACATTTTTGGGTTCTAAGAACACTTCGTGGTAGGACTACAGGAATGCCGGGACGGTCGGTCCCTGCTCAAGTTGGGGGGGGGGGGGGCGGGCCCGCCGCTCGCCGCTCCGGGGGCGCTCACGCCCGCGGGGCCGCCGCTGGGGTCGGGGCCTCAGGACCTCCCCGGCAGTCCGAGCGGTGCACCTTGGAACGCTATACCGATCATTTGGCGTTTAAGCGTTTTTTGTTTTGAATTACGTTTTGACATTACTGTTTATTGTTTAATTGTTTTAAGCGTTTATTGTTTTGAATTGTTTTGAAACGTTTAAACATTACGTTTTGAAGCGTTTAAACGTTTATTGTTTTGAATTGTCGAAAGCTTCGCCAGTAGAATGACATTGCTGACCTTTCTGACGCCGGGCGTCCTCGCCCGGCGTTTTTCGGGCGCCCGCGGGGGCCCTCGCGGGCCGATCTGGCTCGAAGGAGGAGGAGGAGGGGCTCCGGTCGCAACGTTTCGGGGCGCCTGCCGTTTTTCGCAGCGTCGGCTCTCAGGGCCGCGGCTCGGCGGAGGCTTCGCTTCGCGGACCCCTCGCCCTCTTCCAGACATCCTGCGCCGTGAACAACCCGCTGCGGAGAGGGGGGAACCGGCGAAGGGGAGGGTCACCACCAGGGAGGGGGGGGTTCAGAGGAGGAGTGCCGCTGAAGGAAAACTTTGCATCACGAGTTGGGGGGTCCCTTCGAGTACAATGCAGATTCATGCCAAGAAACACCCTGCTTGCCTTCAGGGTGCCCTGGGTTTCTTATGTCTCGATGGTTTTGCGACGGAAAGCGCGACGTTCTCACACCAGAAATCAGTGGACGTCCCGGGGTCTCAGGGTTGGGCTTCTTATGGAAGGTGTCTTGTGGACGGGCCTTCACTGTACACCCCCCCGCACCCCCCGAGCCTGAATATGGAGCAGTTGCTCCCAGAGATGAGCGGCCGAAGCGCCCTCCAACATGAAGGCTGGGGGGGGGGAAGTGATCGGAGGAGGAGGGGGAGGAGGGGGAGGAGGGGGAGGAGGAGGAGGAGGAGGAGGAGGAGGAGGAGGAGGAGGAGGGGGAAGGAGGAGAAGGTGGAGGAGGCGGAAGGGGGAATTCGGCTCTTCGTCCTCGGAGCGCTGCTGATGCAAGCTTTTTCCTCCTTCAGCCGTGTCACCACGGTGCATCTTCGAGGCTACAGTCGGTGCGCTGGAGAAGGAACCCTTTTGGTTGTGGAGGGGCGCCGCGCTCCTTGATTGTTTCGCAGCTTGCCCCAGGGTTTCCTTATGTTTTCGTTGGGAACATCGAAGTTTAACTTATGGAAAAAAAGGGGCCTCGTTCCTTATCTATAGGGTTCCCTGGGTCAAGGCCCCGACGTGTACGAGCTCCACGCCAGTCCCTGATGATGGGCACGGGCGGGCTCCCCGCGCGCGGCTCCGGCGCTCCGGTCCCGCTGCCGTGTGCCCGCCTCCGGGGGGCAAGAGGTTCCGGGGCGGGGATCTGTCCCCGACCACCGTCTGGGGGATCGATCTTGCAGGGCGCATGTCGACTCGATCTGCCGATCCGATTCGATTCGACTTCGATGGCTTCCGATTCCGATTCGATTCGACTTGGGATGCCGATTTGGGCTGCGATTTCTCATTGGAGGCATACTAGCCTGCCGATGACCGCAGATTCGACTTTTCTCGACTCGGCTGCCGATTTCCACCAATCCGCTTCATTTCGATCGCCGATCCGACTCATCGGTTCGATCCTGGGATCTCCTGATCTTGGGGGCTTCTACAGGCGGTGGAGAGGCGGTGGTCATGGATGACTTCCGCCTCGCCAAGATGTGCCGATACAGCTACCCCTTCCTCGTGGCCGCGGCTGGCTTCGCCTTGAGCTCCTCCTCCTCTTCCTCCCTCCTCCTCCTCCTCCTCCTCCTCCTCCTCCTCCTCCTCCTCCTCCTCCTCTTCCTCCCTCGTCAGAGCGCACCTTTGGAGAGGCCCCGGGAGTAACGGCATCGGTGTATCTTTTGCTTGCCCAGGGTTGCGTTGCATCTTCGCGGGGCCTGGTCTGTCCTCGTGTTCGGCGCGGGTTCGGCTCAGATCGGACGTGGGTTCGACACGGATCCTGTATGGATTCGACACGACATCTTGTAAAAAACACCAGCAAATCTGAAACATATCCGAGTGGGAGGTTTTCAGAAGGGGTTTTCCCGACTTGCGATTTGGGTGGTATTGTTGGACCCTCCCTGACCCCCCCGAGAACCCCCACTCGTTGTTCTGTTTCTGGTTGTTGTCGGCTATTGTATGTTCATGTTTTGTTGTTGTGGGCTTCTTCTCCAAGGTAATCTTGTTCATCGATTGTGGGCTCCCGGAACCTCCACACAATCTCCCCAGGCTTTCCCCGCGGCCCCGGGGGAGGGCTACCAACGAACAAAACGCGCTCGTTTTTGTCCTAGACAGTGTCGGGAATTCTCCGGGAGGGGTCCAGGGAACTCCTGCACCAGTCTCCTCAACCCGGTCAATTCTGGACGCCCGACATGGGTACCGAAAGAATGGGTACGATGCCCAACAGCAGTTCCTGTTCATTTTGAACAGGACTCGCTGTCCGCGCCGCCGCGGCCTGTGTCCATTCGAGACAGGAGGCCGCCCGCCCAACAGCGGCCGCTGTTGGTTTGGGACAACATTTGCTGTTGGGCATCGTACCCACTCTTTCGGTACCCATTTCGGGTGTCCAAAAACCTGGTCAATGTCCACGCCCCGAGGGTCCCTCCTGCGCTCTTTGCGCTGCTGTCCTGCGCCTGACCTCTCGGCGCTGCGATCCGGCGGGAACCAGCCCCTGGGGGCCAGCTGCACGGTGCGTGGCGTGGGCCGCCCGGCAGGGGTGGGTGGGGGGTGGGGGGCTCCTCCTCCTCCTCCTCCTCCTCCTCCTCCTCCCTCCTCCTCCTCCCTCTCCTCCTCCTCCTCCTCCTCCTCCTCCTCCTCCTCCTCCTCCTCCTCCTCCCCCCCCCACCGGGAGGGACAACGCTGGTATCCCCGACACGCTGCCGTTGGGAGCCCGTTGGCGTGATACTTCCTCGTTTGTTCATCTGTGCGCTCCGTCGACAGTAGCATGCCGACGGGTTCCCCGCGGCGGCATGTCATTGATACTGTTGTTGCTCCGAGCGCGGGGCGGGCTTGGAGCGACCTCCTCGCCTAGACTTGTCCGCCCTCCTCTCCTTTCTCCTCTTTCACCCTTTCAGGGTGTGGGGTGGCTGGTGGCGGAAGTGGTACCCGCGCCACCCAGCCCGCCCCAAGTGTCCCGAGCGCGCTGAACGCAGCCACTCCGCCTTCCGACGACGACCCCCCTGCGGCTGCCCCCGCCTTGCCCGTCCTCACTCCTCGCTCCCAGCATGCCCCCTCCTCCTGCGGGTTCCCCGTGTCCCTCCTTCCCCCCCCCCTCTCTCCTGCGGGGGGGGTTCTCGGAGGGCGCCCGCCGTGTGGAGGCAGGTCCACGGGGCTGTGCCCCGAGCCCGCCCCAGAGTGCGTGGGGCGGGCTCCCTGCTCTCTGGACCCTGCCCCATGCCAGGAACAAGTTTAGCGCGAGGAGAGCCCTCCTTCCTCCTTCCTTTGCCCTTCTATCCAGTCTCCGCCATCGCCCCTCCTGCCTCTCCCCTTCCTCCTTCCTCTCCCTTTCCGCCTCTCCCTCCCGCCCGCCTCTCTCCTGATCCCTACTCTCTGCTCGCTCCTCGTGCATTCTCGTTCGTCTCTTCTTGTCCTCCATTCACCCTTGCCGCTGCGACTGCTAGTGCTGATCCTCTTCATTCTCCACCTCCTCCCCCCTTCTGTCTGTGGCCGTTTTGGGCTCACGCTGTCTCGGGGGCATTTGATACTGTATCCTTTTATAGTTGCGCTTGCTCTGTAGTACTTGGGCTATGCATTCTATCATTGCGTTTGGCATGATCATGTGTGTCAGTGCTGTGCAACTGGGTCCATTGACGCCGTTGGAGAAGTTGAGGTATACCAGGAGGAGGTTCGCGAGACCCCACACTGATCAGTTTGCAGCCCAGCTTGCCAATGTCACGGGCCTACCTACCGAGCCTGGGTGCTACATGGCGTTCCCCTCCGGCTGCTGGCGATTTTCGACTTCTGCCACGTGGAGGCGCGAGAATGACGTAGAGTCGTCTCGTTCCCGCGAGGCATGTATGATGCGTGCGCACAGGTGGAACACGCTTTGCAGGGTCAGAGACACACAGATGTGGTTCGTCCCTGGCGAAGTCAAGCCGACAACCGCCTCGACGACACCCCCAGACCCCATTCAAGAGATAATCCGACAAGTCGAGGATCGGAGCTATAAGTCGGATTTGCTCCAGCAGGGGGGCAGGGAGTCAGAGGAGGAGGTCGACGCGGAGCGGAAAGCAAAGGGGGATGCTGGATCGTCTAAAGCTGTGGAGAAGGAGAGGAGGACCGCGATCAGGAAGGCAGCCGAGGAGTCTCAGGGGATCGCCGACTCAGAGAAGGCCACTGCGGTCACGGTGCACGACATGCTTCGGGATCAGGTCGCCAGAGTGAGAACGGCTGCGGAGGATATCCGCGCCAGGGCTTTACCCACATCCACCGGTCTGGAGACGTGCCCCCGAGGACTGCGGGTAGCGTCGGACACGGATACGGATACGGTTGGGAACTTTTGGTTAGCGTGTCGCTCCGCCGGTTCTGTCCCACCACGCTTCGGTGCGACACGCTATCCCTTCCCGGTCCCCAAGTGTCACTTGTCCTTAGCCTTTCCGAGGCTCCAGCCCCACGGAGCGGAGCGACGCGCTACCCGCACGCACGGCACAGACTGTCACCGGGGCAGCCGCCGCGACACGTTGAGCAAAAGTTCCTCACGTCCCTAGATCGGACTTGCCGATGTGGATGATCCCCCCCGGGCGTGGATGAGATGATGACGATGATTATGATACTGATGATGATGATAATGAGGATGATGATGATGCAAATCATGTGTATGAATATGATGGTGGTGATGATGGTCATGGTAATGATGATGGTGATGATGATGATGCTGATAGTGATGGTGATGGTGACGATGATGGTGATGATGTTGCTGCTGCTGATTATGATGACGACGATGACGACGATTACGATGACGACGACGATGACGATTATGATGATGATGATGGTGATGATGCTAATGATGATGATCATGATGATGATGCTGCTGATGATGATGGATATGATCCTGATAATAACGAAGATGATGGTGGTGGTGATCATTATGGTAATGATGATGAGGGTGATGATGATGACGTTAATGCTGATGAGGACGATGATGAGGATGAGGATGATGATGATTGTAAAGATGCTGATGATGATGATGATGATCATCATGCTGATGATCATGCTGATGATGATGACCATGCTGGCGATGATGCTGATGATGCTGATACGGATGACAATTACGATGACGATGACGATGAAGATGATAATGATGATGATGATGATGATGATGATGCTGATGATGATGATGATGATGAGGATGATGATGATGATGATGATAGTGATGATGGTGATGATGGTGATGATGGTGGTGACGATGATGATGGCGACTATGACTATCACCCTGACGGTGACGACGACGACGGCGATGATGACGATGACGACGAGGATTACGGTTGATTATGATGACGATGACGATGACGATGCAGATGATGATGATGGCGATGATGATAATGATGACGATGAGGAGGATTCTGACGACGACGTTGATATCGATGACGATAACGATGACGATGATGATGTTGATAATTGTGATGCTGATGGCGATGGTGATGTTTATCGTATGATGATGATGATGCTGATGCTGAAACTGATGATGATGCTACTGATCATGGTGATGATGATGCAGGTAATGATGAGTGTGGTGATGATAGCCATGATTTTGATGATGATGCTGATGATAATGAGGACGACGGTGTTGTAAATGGCTATGGTACTGATGATGCTGCTGATACTGATGATGATGACGACGCTAATGAGGATGACGATTACGATGATAGCGATGACGATGCTGATGGTGATGATGATGTTGATGCAAAGTGCTGATGGTGTCGATGACGACCACGACGACGACGACGACCATAGTGATGATGATGATGATGATGGTGATGATGGTTATGATGATGATGATGATGATGATGATGATGATGATGATGATGGTGGTGGTGATGATGGTGGTGATGATGCTGATGCGGATGCGGATGCAGATGATGATGTTAATGATGATGACGCTTGTGATGATGGTGATGATTTACGGATACGGGTGATGATGTTGATATTTCAAATGATGATGGTGAATTGATGAGGATGCAGATGATGATGATGCTGGCTCATGACGGTGATGACGCGAAGACGACGTCGATGGTAATGGCGATGACGATTATGTTGATGATGGTGATGATGATGATGATGGTTCTGATTCTCCTGATGATGGTGGCGCTGCTGCTGATGATGCTGCTGATGATAATGCCAATGATGCTGGTGGTGGTGGTTATGCTGATGGTGGTGATGATAATGCTGATGGTGACGACGATGGCGATGGTGGTTATTATACTGATGATGCTTGTGATAATGGTGACGGTGCTGCTGATGATGATGATGATGATGATGTTGATGATGACAAGGATGAGGATGTTGCTGATGATGATGATGAGGATGACGATGATGATGATGATGATGATGCTGAAGATGCAGCTGCTGATGATGCAATTTGATGATGCTGATAATGATCAGGATGCTGATGATGACGTTGATTATGATGATGCTGATGATGGTGATGCTGATGATGACGATGCTGCTGCTGCTGATGATGATGATGATAATGATGATGATGATGATGATGATGATGATGATGATGATGATGATGATGATGATGATGCTGATTATGATGTTGCTGCTGCTGATGATGGTGGTGGTGATGATGAATGCAGCTCACTGCCAATAGACGTAGAAGCCAAGGGGGACGAGGAATACCGGGGTTGCGCCGTGATGAAGGAGGAGGGGGAGGAGGAGGAGGAGGAGGAGGAGGAGGAGGAGGAGGAGGAGGATGAGGAGGAGGATGATGATGATGAGGAGAGGAGGAGGAGGAGGAAGAGAGGAGGAGGAGGAGGAGGAGGCGAGGAGAAGGAGGAGGATGATGACGATGATGAGGCGGAGGAGGAGCGGGGGAGGAGCAGGAGGAGGAGGCAAATCATGAGCAGACGCAGGCAGGAGGAGGGGGAGGAGGAGCAGGAGGGATGAGGAGGAGCAGGAGAAGGAGGAGCAGGAGGAGGAGGAGGAGGAGGAGGCCGATGGCCGAGGCGAAGGTGTCCACGGAGGAGGCCCACGTGAGGTCGCCGGAGTAGAGGCGCGGCTGACGGCCGCGGGCGGCCTCCCTGGCCCAGCCATCGGGTGCAGGCCCCCTTCGCCTCGCGGGACTCTCCCGAGGAGCGCGAGGCTGCCCGCGCCGCGCGCGGAGCTCCTCGTGTGATGCGACCGTGTGCCTCCTCTCGCCCTCCTCCTCTGCGGCTGCTCTGCAGATGCCGTCGGGCGCTGGCAGCACTCGTCGTCGTCCTCCTCCTCCTCCTCCTCCTCCTCCTCTGCCCCAACAGCTAGATGCCTTCCAAGCGGCGCTAGCAAAGATGCCCAACAATGACTCGATTCTTCCGCCGCCGTCTGGATCGGCTAGGCCTTACCCCTGGCTGAAACCCACGAGGCGTTGAGTGCCCTGAGACCCGTGGACTCGTGGGGTACTGGCGCTCCTCCTCCTCCTCCTCCTCCTCCTCCTCCTCCTCCTCATCTTACCCTGCGGTCGATCTCCACCATGCTGGGGCCGCCGTGGTCGGCGTCCTGGGGGAGCGCGTCGCTCTCGAGCAGCAGGCCCAGGGCCCCAGAAAGGACCCCCCGCCGACGTCGAGCACTCCCGCCCGCGCGGCGCCGAGATCTGGCCGGAGAGAGCTGGCCCGTGGAGGCCCGGCAGAGGTGAATCCGGTGGCCTCCTGGCTACCCCGCCACCGTCCGACGCCGTGCCCTGGAGGGTCTTCGGGGAGGCTTTCTGTCGGGGGTGGACAGACCTCCTACCCTGACGCGTCGATTAAGGAATTGGCCGTTTTCGGTTCGCGAGAGGGCGTCGCGGCCGTCAGTTTTGCGGGTCCACGTCCGTCGGTTTCGGTCCCAGGCCGTTTTCACTAAGGGGAGTTTTACTAAAGGGAGGTTTGTCCACCGCCGATTCTGGGGGCTCTCCAGAGGCCGGTGTTCTTCGGACACCGGCGAGTTTCCTGGCACGGAGGCGGGCGCGGGGAGGGGCGCGGCGAGGCCCGAAGTTCCGAAGGGAAGTCTGAACTGCATGCATGTCGGGACTCGCCTGCACGCCCGTTCGGCCCAGCGCTGCTTCAAAAGGCGGCGGATTGATGGGGGGGGGGCAATGCCATGCAAGTTGGTTGGCCCGAGTCTACAGTGCAGCGCCATCCCAAAGGTCTCCATGGTGCTTCCGGGGATCTCCAGGTCACCAGGGGGCTTCCTGGGGGCCTCTGAGTGCTCTTGGGGCCTCCTTGGGTGGGACAAGCAGCCCTTGGCACCTGGCTGGGTGCATCCTCCGAGGATGCGCACCCTGGAAGGGTCCGAGAGAGCCCGGCAAGTCCGGCGAATCGGGGATCCAGGCCATGGCCGCGGCGCCCGATCCCGATGCGTCCTCCAGAACCGTCGGATCGCAGAGATCCCCGTTTTTTCCAGGTCCCATTTTGTCTCGGCGCTGGCTTTGTCTTATTCGACTTAGCGGGCAAAAGGGCGGTGGAAAAAACACAATTCCGCCATCGGGGGATGCTGTCCCAGGGCGGCTGGGAAGTTCATACCACTTCGGTGGCACGTGGGGGTATACACTGCCCAGCCGCTCTGGGGCAGGCGCCCCCGATGGTGGACCATCTTCTATCAGTTACGCCGCCCCTCGCCCGCTACGGAGCCCCTGTGCACACCGCTCACAGCCTGCACGAGCTCTGGTGCGCCACACCACGAGCTCTTTTGGGCACGGTGGCGGACACCTCCCCCCCACTCCCCAGGAGAGCGCGGCGGCGAGGGGGGGCCGACAGGAGGTTGGCAGCGCAGGAGCAACGGCGCGCGGCGCGAGGTGATCGTTTTTTTATTCAGTGTTTTGCCGATCGGCGCGGGCCCTAGCACCCCCCCTGCCCCCCCCGCCCCATGGAGTAGACCTTGGCTGTTTTTGGCGCCTGGTTCAAGCAGGTGGGGTCTCCCCCAGAGGACGCACGTTTCCAAACAGCCGCATGAGGCAGAGGTCCAGAGCCAGCCACCCCCCTTCCCCCCCTCTCCCTTCCGCCCAATGTCGAAACGCCGAATAAGAAAACGCTCACAAGCCTCTAGGTAATTAGTGACAATGCACCTTGGCCATGCCGGGCGCGTCGGCCTTGGTTCCGTCATCGGAGAACAAGAAGAGGCCGAAAAATAAGTACTCGGAGTTCCGCGCGGATTTCTTGGATCGGCGCTGGCCCCACCTGGCGCGGCCTCCGGCTCCGCCCCATAGCGCGCACCGCGCGCCAGGAGGGGCGGGGGGTCCAGCGCAAATCCAAGAAATCCGCGCGGACTTCCGAGAAGGTGCATTTTGTCATTTTTGCTCTACAGCCGGGCTCGGAGTCTCGGGGCAGCGCGTCGATTGCGGCTCTGCCCTGGGGCCTCGCTTTTTGTGTGCATGTTGGGGCCCTATCGCTTGTACAGCTCTGGCTCCTGTTCCTGGCTTCTTGGCGTATGAGCGCCAACAGCGAACGGTTGTCTTCCAGCAGCACGTTACAATAGCTACAGGAAGCGAGTTGCTACCAGGGCTGTAAGAATGCAGAGGATGGCGGCCCATGAGCGGGAATCACCACAAAAACGTGACGTGCCTGCTGCTTCTGACGCTTTCGATGCTTCTGCTGCCCCTTCCCTTCCACTATCTCTGCTCGTGCGATGGCCGTGCTTGGTTCGTTGTTCTCCTTCCCCTCATCCTCTACGCTCCGCTAGCTCCGCGCCCGCGAGGATCCTATTTCCTCCCTCCTCCTCATCCGCTCCTGTTCCGTCTCCTCTTCTCGTCTTTCTTGAATTTCCCTTTCCCTTTCGATCCCAGTCCATCTCTTTCATTCTCATCTTGACGTAAGCCTGACTCTTGCCAAGAGTATCTGCATGGCTCGTCCCTTCTTTTAGGCGCTCCGGAAGGCCTCTCGCCCTCGACGCAGCTCGTCTTCGGCGCACCTGCGCTCGGCGGAACACGGCGGCCGGCCGGCGGAAGCCTGGCGGAAGTCACAACGGCGGAGGTTCCGCCGGCGGACGGCCGGCAGAAGCCTGGCGGATGCCTGTTGCTTTCAGAGGCGACGATAGAGGCGAGCGAATAGCCCAGGGGAGAGCAATACATGTATTCGGGTGCGCCGATGATCAATGTCTTCGAAAAGGCTCCCGGGCGAGTACGTGCAATGCCCGCCCCTTGGCTAGTCGCCCCTATCGTCGCCCCCGATGTTTCATTTTTGGCTTGTTACACGACCGGAGCTCCGGACCCCATCCTTCTGCGCCATCTTTCGAGCCAGAGCGGTCCGTGAGGGCCTCAGGGCCCGAAAGGGAGCGGGAGCGCCCCCCTGCGACAAAAGGTGCAGCGCGAGGATCTCAGGGTCGAGGGGGTGGAGGGGGGGAGGCGCGCGCGGGGGCGCCCGGGGGCGGGGCAGGCTCCGCTGCACATCTCGCCCTGGTCCTTCTCCCGAGCTCGGCATCGTTGCTGGGCTGGGGAAGGTCCCGGCGCGCAGGGGTGTTCGGCGCGCGAGCGCGGTCGCAGAGCCTGATGCCGGCATGCTCGCGGCAGGCTCTGGAGGATCGGCTGCACGTCGGGTCAGAGTGACCTTCCGCCAGGGGGACCCTTTTGGGTGCGGGCACAGAGGGATCCCCAGATGGCTGAACGCGATGCGATGGCAGCGGCTTGCGCTCTCCAGTTCGGCCTCCCCGCGGCCGCGCACCACAGGTCACTCCTGGCTAGGGTCACCCTTACGTGTAGCCGAGAGGAGGCGTCCGCCCCACTCCCCAGACCCCCGACGCCATGATCTTTTCGTGACGCGACCCCTAGAGGTCCGGGCCCATTCCCCGGGGCCGGTCCGTCATCCTGAAGCCGTCTCTTGGCGGTCCCGAGGCCGGGTGCCCCCAGAGGCCGAAAAGAGGGAGGGTCACACCTTCCGTTTTTCATGGCTCGAGGGGTCTGGGTCTGGTTGTTGGCCGGGTGCGGGGCGCGGCGCGCGTGCCGAGCAGGCGCGCGTGCCGCCGGCCTGCAGGCAGTGAGGGGGGCTGGCCGGGGCCCCTTGGGGCGCGCGCACGTCGTCCCGGTGCACCTGCGCGGCGCGCGTGCTCCTCGCGAGGGGCGCCGCCTGTGCCGAGCGTGGGCGCGGTGGCGCTGCGCCCCACAGGGCCGCAGAGCTCGGCGGGGACGCCAGCGGCTCGTGCGCGGGCGCCTTCCTGTGGGCGGCGCGATGGGCGGCAGGGCTGCCCGGGCCTGCACGTCCTTTTCCTCGCGGCGTTCCTCTGGGAGCCTGTTTTTCTTTATATCCAGGCAAGCTTACTTGCATGGCGTCCCCCCCCCCCCCTCGCCCCTCTTCAATCGAACACGGGCGTGCAAGTGCCTTTCGACTTGCGTGATTTCCGCACGTCGAATTGTTTTCGGCTTGCTTCAGACTCAGCCCCCCCCCCCCCCCGTCCATGCAAGTAAACTTGCCCGAATCCAAAGCAAAACAGGCTCTGGGCCTCCTGGGTGGGGTCCGGTGCAGATGGGGTGGGAGGATCGCGCCGTATCGCCGATGCATCAGCGACGCGGCTCGATGCGGAGCCCGATGTTCTCCACGCCGACGGCGCCGATGCCTCGCCGACGTCGCCGATGCATCGCCGATGCATGGGCCATGTATCGCCGATGTATCGGCGATGCGGCGCGATCCTCCGACCCCATCTACTCGGACCCCATCTAGGAGGCCTCTAGTTTCCGATAACCTTGCGTCCTTACTTCTCGCGACTCTTTGTGGTAACGTCGTTAGCTTATTGACAGGCGTGTACGTGTATGTGTGTTCCTGCTCGGGGCGAGCTTCACTGTGATGATTATCCTGCTCGTCCGTTGCCTGTCCATCATGGAGTTTTAGTTGATTACCCTCCGATGTTGCCATTCGAAGCGCCTGCTCTGCCCGAGCTGGCATGTCCACGTCGTCGCATAGCCATGCAACCGACGGGCACCGAGTGCAAGTCAACTGTCTGGATCCAGGTATCCGAGGACCTTCGCTGCCGTGGGCAGCAATTACAACCACACCCAGCATGGTCTTTGTGTTTGATGCACCGCTATGTCGTGATCACCGGTGTGACCACTGAACCTTCCCTCAATGGAAGGGTCGGGGACAGAGCCGCGCTGCACAGCCTGATTGTAAATTGGCCCTGGATTTGCATGACACGGGACGCTTGTCTCAGTCTCGAGCGGAAGGCCCTCGAGATGAGGAACCCGATCTTTCAACAATGTGTGCTGTGCGGAACGGGTAGCCCTCTGATGTGCCTTGGTTATGCTCCATTTGTGCCGCGGCGGATTCCGAAAGGCAGGACGTCACCAAGCAACATTGCCAGGCGACGTGGCATCGTGGTTCGTTTCTCTCAAGCACATGGCGGGCCCCTTTGGTTGTAGTTGGTGTGGTATTTCTTTTCCTCCTACTTTCCCTCTGCTGCCATTTGCGGCGTCTGCGGCGCTTGCGGGTATCCTTGCGAAGATATTGGGATCATCTCAGCAGACAGCGGGAAGACAGTTTTGCGTAGATATTGTGTCCCGCGGTAGCTTGTCTTGATATGTGTACATATACATATATATATATAGATATCTATAGGTATGCGCGCTCATGTTCTTAGCAACCGCAATTTTGAAGCTTGCGTGTTTTTCTCTTCCCTCTTGCCCCTGTCCCATCGTCACAGTTCCCGCTTGGAGTTCGTGTGGGCACGCTCAGGTCCTGTTCTCAAGATCCGTTCGGCTCCTGAGAAAGAGTTGCTACATCTCCAAGCATCTCCCTTCCACCCTATTGCCGACGCACCTCTGACGTGCACAGCTTGCTGCTGGCTTGTTTGCCTCCTTTACTTCCTTTTCCTGCTCGTCTTCCTTCTCGTCGTCGTCATCATCAGTATCATCAGCATCATCACAATCAGCAGCATCATAATCTTAATCATCATCACCATCAGCATCACCATCACCACCACCATCATCATCATCATCAGCATCAGCAGCGTCATCGTCATCTTCATCGTAGTATGCATATTCGCGGTACTACCATCCGCGTTTTCATTGTGTTATTCATCTTCATCTCTATCTGCATCTTCATATCCATCTCAAACATATTCTCCTCCTTCTTTATCAGCATCAGCATCATCGTCATCATCAGCATCATCATCAGCATCATCATCATCATCGTCGTCGTCGTCGTCCTCATCATCATCATCATCCTCATCATTATCCTCCTCCTCCTCCTCCTCATCATCATCATCATCATCATCAGCATCATCATCATCATCATTATCAGCAGCATCATTATCACCATCATCCTCTGGCCCCGCAACGTCTCGTTCCCCTTAAGTGGTTCAGGACCGCCTGGCCGGCTTTCTTCCATTTTGGGTCCTCTAGCCGTCTTCCTTCAAGCCTGAGGCGCATCATCGGACCACTGGTGCTGCTCTACGCTGCGCTGCTCTGCGCTGCGCTGCTCTGCTCTGCTCTGCTCGGCTCTGCTCCGCTCTGCTCATCCTCCTCTCCCTCTCCCCCATCCCAGTCCACCTTCCCGTCCCCCTTCTTACTCTTCCCGCTCCCGCTCCCGCTGCTGCTCCTCCTCGAGCCTCCTCCTCCTCCCCCCCCCTGGAGCTCTCCAGAGCTCTGCATCTCGCCTGGGGGCCCCCTCGCGAGGGCCTCTGAAGGCCACCAGGCCTGCCCCGCGGGGCCTCTGCAGCCCTCCAGCGCTCTCGTGGCGGCCCCCGCCGAGGCCTCTCCGGAGGCCCCCGGGTCGAGCTTCTTCCGGCGGCCGGCCCCTCTCCCTCCCCTCTCCCTCTCCCTCCCCTCCCCCTCTCCTCCCCCCCCTCCCCTCCCCTCCCCCTCCCCCCCCCCCTCCCCCCCCTCCCATCGCTGCCGTGGCCGTCCCGGCTCGAGCCGTACCCGCTCGCGCGCGGCGCCCAAGCGCGGCGTCGGCGCGTCGCGGGTATCGCGCGCTCGCGCGGCGCATCCCGCGGGGTGCGGCCCTGTGCTGTGCGAGCCGCTCCGGCGGTCCCGGCGCGGGCGGCGGCGTCGTCGGCGGCGGCGGCGGCGGTGACGACGGCGGCGGCGGCGGCGGACGACGGCGGCGTTGGCGGCGGCGGCGGTCCGCGAGGTGCGATGAGGCCGCGGGGAGTTGCGACGATGGGGGCGCCGCCGCGGCGCTCCGCGCGCTGGTGTGCTGCGCGCCTGTGGCGCGTGGCGGCGCTGGCGCTGGCGGTCCCAGGGGCCCGCGGCCAGATCTACACCTTCGAGGAGGCGGGGGGAGGGCGGTCACCCCAGGGGCTGTTCGGCGTCCCTCTGCGCTTCCTTGACTCCAGGCCTTGCAGTTTCTGATGCGGGCGGTTTCGCCCGCTTTCGAGCCCCGGGACTATCAGGGATCGATTTGGCTCGAGAGATGGGGGAGGAAGAGGGGGTCTAGGGCTCCAGTCGTGATGCTGCGCAATGTGGCATTTCGCAGCGTCGGATCTCAGGGTTCTTCGATACCCTTTTTCCCGACGTCCCTCCTCGAGAAATCGGTGGCCCTTCTCGAGTCCTCGCTCTGGGCCTTCGGGAGGAGGTCTTCCTGTCGCCCCGGCGCGTGGCGGCTCGAGAACGCCGGCCATGGTGGCTCTGGGAAGGGTCCGAGGAGCGATTTTGAGCGAATTGTGGTCGGGGACTGAGTGTCGAGATTGTTGGGCGCTTCTGGGATCGAGGTACTTGGACGCCTCGGGCCCTTCTGACGGAGCTCTGGGGACCTGGTCTGCGCCTCCGCGGAGACACCTGGAGACCTCAAGGAGGGAGTAGGACGAGGAGGAGGAGGAGGAGGAGGAGGAGGAGGAGGAGGAGGAGGGAGAGGAGGAGGAGGAGGAGGAGGAGGAGGAGGAGGAGGAGGAGGAGGAGGAGGAGGAGGAGGAGGAGGGAGAGTACGTGGAGGAATAGGACGATGATGAGGAGGAAGATGATCAGGAGGAGGAGGAGGACGAGGAGGAGGAGGAGGAGGAGGACGAGGAGGAGGAGGAGGAGGAGGAGAAGGACGAGGAGGAGGAGGACGAGGAGGAAATGACGAAGGCGGACGAGGACGAGAGGGTGGGGCAAGGCTCCGGTTCCCGAGACTAAGTCCTTGCACACGATGTACGCGTTCTACGTGTACTCGCACCAGGACGCGCCAGAGAAGTCCCTGGGACACGAGCCGTTCGTGAAGTTTCACGGGCTGTTCCTGAAGGGCGTCAAGGAGCTCGCCGCGAAGCAGACGGGTCCTGAGGGGAGCAGGCCCTGAGGTTAGTTGCCGTCTTCGGGATCCCAGGGCCCTCCCCAGGCCCCGGGGCGGTCATAACGACTCAGGTTGAGGAGCTGGTCTTGGAGTCTTGGAAGGAAGCCATGGGATCCAGGACCCGTTTTTCTCAAGACCCATTCGTTCATTCCATAGGAGCCCATGCCTCCGCCGACCTATGAGGGCATCCAGCTGAGCATCCTTCCGTACGCGAACTTCTGGAATCTCATAGACAAGAACAAGTTCTGCGCCACCGCTCAGGACGCTAAGGACGGGCTCGCCCTGGCAGCCGACCAATTGTTGGTACGAAAGCCTGTTGGTTCGACCTACGCCGACGTCAATGTGTATGCACACACAGTGAAGCTCGCCACTCCAGATAGACCGCTCGGCGACAAGGATGTACAGATCGTTGTGCGCGAGACGGGCGTCTACATTCTCGTCTTCTCGAACTGCGGGGACGTGCAAGACGCGACTGTACAGGGGAGTGTCCTGGTGAAGAATGCTTACGGGTTCCTGCCTGGCAGCGAGTACCACAAGTTGCCCTTCTATGGCTGGCTGTCCCTTTTCTATTCCTTTGCTGGACTGATCTGGATGAGCTTGTCGCTGCGATATTGGCGGGAGCTCTTCCACATCCAGTACTGCATTGCCGTCGTCGTATTTCTCGGCCTTGTGGAGGCGTTCCTGTGGTGGATATTCTTCAACGATTGGAACCACACGGGCATTCGTGGCAGGTTTCTGTTCATCATGGCCATATTGTCCTCTGTTCTGAAGTCGATCTTCTCGTACATGCTCGTGTTGGTCGCTTCGCTGGGCTGGGGCGTCACACGCCCATACCTGGATCAGAGAACAATCATGAAGGTTCAGGGCATGGCCTTTCTCTACATAGTTCTGGACTTCATCAGAGAGTCTGTTCTCTCGTTCAGGCACAGCCACTCGCTGACGCTCACCTTCGTGCTGCTCTGCTTGCTGCCAGTAGCGCTGCTGAACGGCGCCATCTTTTATTGGATCTTCACTGCGCTGTCAAGCCTCATGGAGACTCTGCGGGACCGCCGGCAGATGGAAAAGCTCGTCCTGTTTGAGCGGCTGTGGAGGATCTTAGTCTTCGCTCTCGCGGTCGCGTCTTGCACGCTGCTGTTCCAGATCTTCGATTTGTCCCGCAGCATCAGCATCAGGTGGCACTACCAGTGGTTCTTCGCCGACGGCATGTCTCACATCCTCTTCATGCTTGTTCTCGCGGCGATGATGTACCTGTGGGCGCCACACACGAACTCCCAGAGGTACGCCTACGATAAGGTGGCAGACGACGAGGACGAGGACGGCGCGAAGGCAACTGAGTGGGCCGACGAGGCTGGGGACGACGCGGATGACGAGAGTTTCTGGGCAACCACGCACAAGAAACCCAGCGAGGGCGTGACTACGACGTCTGCGGCCGCAGAGAAGATCGGTGCCGGCTCCGAGGCGGACTGATTGGTGGCGATGCGGCGCGGGCGCGCCGAGCAATCTCGCCGGAGTTTGAGAGGGCAGTGGGTTGCTGATGTCCTTTTGCCTTGTGTGACCATCCTCTTTTCCCGCTGCTGCTCGTGATGACTCTAAGATGCATGTCTTGCGAGGACACTGCCATCCGTCGCGATCGTTATGCTCCGTTTCGTTCTAACTGAACAAATTCGAAAAGAGCGAGCCCTATGTGCGGCACCTTCTGTGTGGAACCGCATGCGTGCGGCGCCATATGTGCGGAACTATTTGTGCTTGGAGCTCAACATGTGGAACCCTGTATGAAACCCGCTATGCGTGTGTGTGTGTGTAAGTGTAAGTGTAAGTGTAAGTGTAAGTGTAAGTGTAACTGTAAGTGTAAGTGTAAGTGTAAGTGAAAGTGAAAGTGAAAGTGAAAGTGTAAGTGTAAGTGTAAGTGTAAGTGTAAGTGTAAGTGTAAGTGTAAGTGTAAGTGTAAGTGTAAGTGTAAGTGTAAGTGTAACTGTAACTGTAAGTGTAAGTGTAAGTGTAAGTGAAAGTGAAAGTGAAAGTGTAAGTGTAAGTGTAAGTGTAAGTGTAAGTGTAAGTGTAAGTGTAAGTGTAAGTGTAAGTGTAAGTGTAAGTGTAAGTGTGTGTGTGTGTGTGTGTGTGTGTGTGTGTGTGTGTGTGTGTGTGTGTGTGTGTGTGTGTGTGTGTGTGTGTGTGTGTGTGTGTGGGGGGGCACGTGTGGAACCTTGTCAGACGTGCAGAATTGTCCCGCAGGCCTGCAGAGCGTGCCCCCCGCTGTCTGCTCAAGAGACATATGCCCCGAATCGACAGAGTTCGTGCGGTAGTTCGTGTGGGCCTACAGGCGGTGCGCTGTCGGCTCCGACTGCATGTTACACATGTATTTGGGGTAGCCTTGCCAGGTTGCTCGGCCCTGCAACGCCTCCCCCGTCAATTGGCATGTGGGGCGGCCAACGATTTGGGGGGGGTCAGCACTAATGGCTGCCCATTCGCCAGGACTCTAAATGGACCACGGAGGGTCCCACTAGTGACCCCAGCTATGGCCCCACTGCTAACCCACTACCTACCCAGTGATGAAGCTGACGCACCAGTGGCTCACCCATGAGTGTGACACACGAATCCTTGACTAAGTGTCAGTGCACCACTCATGTTCCACGAATGGTTCACTCTACCTTGTCCTGCGCGCGTTGTCGATGATGAAACATCATTTGCGCGCATCGCGTTGACACTAACGTGCCACTGGCCAGGTCCTTCTGTGAGGCAGGGCCCTGGAGTTTACGGCACTTGAAACCTGGAGGGGGTCAAGACGAGTGCAATTGACGTGAGGGTGGGGGTGATAGTCGAAGTTGCAGAAGTGTCGCTGTCCATACAATTGCCCTTGACGCTTCGCGTATCCCCACCAGCTGTGCGACCGTTAGTCGCCTCCTCGCCCGCCCGCGCTCGCGCCCCTGCCGCGCCTCCCCCCTCGTGGGTGCTGGCTTTCCGGCCGGCCTCACGCGCTCTCCGCGCTCCGCTTCCGCCTCCTTCCCCCCCGCCCGCGCCTGCCGGTTCCCACGCCGCCCGCTCCCCGCGCGCCCCAGCTGGGGCTGGCGGTTTGCGCCTGGTCTCGCTGTCTCCTTGCCCACCAGTGCGTCCTCACCACTGCTCAAGCTCGTGGCCCCTTGCTCCCGGGCGCCGGGCCACCCCCCCTTGCCCCGCGCCCTGCGTGGGCCGCCCGGGGCCCCCTCTCAACGCCTCGACCCTTGCCCCTGGCTCCAGGGCCTCAGGCACGTCTGAGGCGTCCCACCGCCGTGGGCCCCTTTGCCACGGCGCCGCCGCTCGCGGCTCTGCGCTGCACATTGGAGCCGCCTGGGCTCCTCTTCGGCTGCACGGCGCGCGCGGGTCGACCCCCCGGGTCGCCTGCCTGCCCTCTGCTGCCCTCTCGCCGCCGCGGCCCCTCCGCCACTGCGGCCCCTGGCCCGAGACAGCCTCCCATGCCTGTCTTGGCTGCCGACTCGGTTGTTCTCTGCCCCGCGGGTAGCGTTCTCGTTGCTGCAGGGCGAGGTCCGACATGCTCCGGCTGGACGCCTCTGTTGCGCTTCGGGGCCCTCGTTCGACGGGATCGGCTCCAGCATGGTGGTGGGCGTCCGTCCGCACTCACCGTTCGTGAACGGGACCTCGATATCAGTCTGTGCTGATGTATAGCGATCCGGGCGCTGCTCCGTTGAGCGCCTGCATATGTGCCGGTTGACGGCTGGGCTGGCGTGGTGTGCGCTCGCTATCCACGTGGCGGTGTGCCCGCTGGTCCCTGGCGCCTGCTCTTGAGGTGCGCCACCCACTGGCATGGTAGCGGAGCCGTTCTACCTGAATTCCCCCCCGCCATTTTGGCGTGCAACCGGCTGCGGTTCAGTGCCGTGTCGAAGGCGCCTCTTTGAGTGGCTGTGAGGCTCTCCTCCTGTCGTCTCCCTCGCTACTCTCGTTTGTCTCGTTGTATCTCCTCTTTCCCTCTCTTGCGCAATTTAGGCCGTAGCTAGTGCGCTACGACTTTTGATGTTGTGCGGCACCTCCGTATCGCTTGCGGCCAAAAAAGTATCCCCACCAGCCCGTCCAGAAACGACGCCCTGGCGAGTTGAGGTGACTAGGCTAGTGTAGGAGTAAAGATGGGGACAGCCGAACCGTTCGAAGGAGAAGGAGAAGGAGGAGGATTAATGGATGGATAGACGGATGGATGAGGGAGGAGGGAGAAGGATGATGAATAGGATGATGATGATGATGATGATGATGATGATGATGATGATGATCATGATGATGATGATAATCTGATGATGATGAGGTTGAGGATGAGGATGATGATGAGGGTGATGATGATGATGATGATGATTATGATTCTGAGTCTGATGATGATGGTATGATTATTCTGATGATGATGATGATGATGATGATGACCATGATGATCATGATGATCATGATGATGATGATGATGATGATGATGATGATGATGATGATGATGATGATGCTGATGATGATGATGATGATGCTGATGATGATGATGATGATGATGATGATGATGATGATGATGATGATGATGATGATGCGGAGGAGGAGGAGGAGGAGGAGGAGGAGGAGGAGGAGGAGGAGGAGGAGAAGGGGAAGGAGGAGGAAGGAGGAGGAGGGCGAGCAAAAGGGCCAGGGGCCTCTTGGACGTATCTCGGAGTCTCGCGGGATATCTCTTGGGCGCCGCTTTGAAGCCTCTTGGGGCGTCTTGGGGGTCCTTCAGCGGTCCAGGGGGCTCTTGGGCGTCTTGGGTGCCTCAGGGTGGCTTTGGGGGCCGCTTGGGATCCTCCTGGGGGCTTCTTGGGGCGATCTTGGGGCCTCTTGGGGCCATCTTGGGGCCTCCTGGGTGCCTCTTGGGGCCATCTTCGAAGACATCGATCAAACAAGGGGGGGGGGGTACTTAATCAGCGTCGCCCCTCTAAAGCGCCAGAACTCGCCGTTTGGGGCGCTCTTGGAGCGCTCTTGGAGCGCTCTTGGGCGCCCTTGGGGCCGTTTTGGGGCTCTCTTGGGCCTCTCTTGGGGCTCTTGGAGCCATCTTGAGGCCTCGGAAGGCAATCGGAACCAAAAAGGCGAGAACGCAAACATGATTGATGATCCTAAGGTTGTTTGAAGAACTGTTACTTCTTGGAGGCCTCCTTGGAGTCTCGGAGGCCACTTGGAGCCGCCTTGGGGCGGTCTTGGGGCCTCTTTGAGCATCTTGGAAGCCATCTTGAGCGATCTAGGGCTAGCTTGAGCCATCTTGGAGGTCATCTTGGGCTCTCTGAGGCCCTCGTGGAGCCGTCTTTGACAATCTTGGGTGCTCCGACACATCGCGGGGCGCCCTGTTCGGGTCCAGGGGAGGGGGTATGGGGGAGGAGTCAAGGCACCCCTAGATAGCAAGCCGTCTAGCTCACTCCCACCCGACCTCCCAACACATGAGTAACACCCAAGCCTGAGCATGTTCAGCGGTCGAATTTGGATGGACAGCTACCAGGGACCAATACCGACCCCATGTGCGCGACGCTCGGGCGAGGTGCGCCACGCGTGCCAGGCGCGCCACGCGCGACAGGCACCCCTGGGGCCCGAGCGTGCCAAGCACAGCTGGTGCGCCAGATGCGCCTCGTGATCCGCGTGCGCGAGGTGTGCCGCATCCTCCAGCCGCCGCAGGTGCGCCACGTTCGGGGCACGTGCAGAGTGTGTCATGTGCGCCTGCGCACGTGACAGCACACATCGGGAAACGTGCCGGCCCCCACCATCCTTGTCGAAAACCAATGCCCATCATTGTTTCTGGTGGGCCTGAGCACAGCAGGCCACACGCCACCACCCCCGCCGTCTTTGTCAAAGACCATTTGCCAGTGATCGCGGGGTGGCCGCGCACGATCCAGATTTAGCCGCGAGGTGCATGTTGTGTTGTTTTTGTCAGGGATGGTAGCCTTGCGCGCAACAGGCAATATGCTGACACCTCCGCCGTCCCTGTCAAAACAATACAAAGCGCTCGCGGGCCTCACGAACATGACTCAAGACTTTTGCCCCAAAGTGTGTTTTGTATTTTTTGACAGGGATGGGGGGGGCGCATAGGGTTGGCAGCATGCTCCAAATGTTGAGGCAGAGTGCGATTTGTATTGTTTTTGACATGGATGGGTGGGGGGGTGAGCATGGTTCCTGGTTGGCCGTCGGTCGCCTGGAGGAGGGGTTGTATACTAGTAGGGAACAGTGATGAATCCTTCCCCGAAGGGGAAGAAGGGAGTTGGAAGAGGAAACTCCCTAGACCTCCTACGCCCTAAAGACGTTCGTCGCCACTGTAGGACCATCACCGCGTATTGAATCAAGTGGCCACTAGTGTGCCACTAGCCACGTTCAGTACAGACGTCCTGTTAGGCACCACCCCTCTTGACATATGTGTGGGCGTATCCGGTAGGAAGCCTGAGCCTAGAGCCCGATGCTGGTGGAGCCCCGCGTGCGCGTGGAACCCGATGCAT